TCCCCGTGATCACGAGTTCTCTCTCCAAGCCCAGCCTAGTTATTTGTGCATGAAGCTGCCATGTCGTGTATTGGTGTGAGTCTGGTGTTCACATGAGCTATGAATATGCTGCACATGTGTATTTCTTGTGCATCCTGAGCTTTTCTTTGGTCAAGTTAACTGTTGTTCTGCCTTCTAATGAATCACCAAGAGAGAACTAGACCTGGTAAGATTTCTTGTTAGCAACAAACTGTGTCACTGTCAATATGACGCTGAATGAGTTTGCAATGTGACTTCATGTTCAAGCCTCCAGACTGGAAGGGAACGAGACTTTGGAGTTTCTCTTCAATGAGGTGACTCACTGTAACATTTGAGTTCATACTTTGCACAAAAAAGAGTAAAAGTCATGCAATGGTGCACACAAACTCTGCTGCCTTAGTGTACAAGGCAGTTCCTGCACCACCCCAACAGAGTTGCAGTAACTCCAGTCTCTTGCTTGCCACTTTGCAGAACCTCCCTCCTTCAGGAAGGGTATGCCTTCAAAAAGCTCAATGAAAGCCAAGAGAAAGCAAGCAAGGCTACTCAAGCACTGGCTAATCTGTAGCCACCTAGTCTTAAAATGACCATAATCGCCCAAGGCATCACTGAGTGTTTTTGGCTAAGTGGTGTGATGCTAGTAAGTTGCAGATTTGCAATTTATTGGGAGGGAGGAATTTATTCTATTTTATCTGCTGCTTAGACTTTGCCTACTCCAGGAGAGGACAGGGATAATTATCTGCCTACAGCAGCTGCCTTCTCTCAGCAAGGAAAGACAAAGGAATGCTAAAACCTCTGTCCAGACCCATGTCCCAGCTTGCTGCCATCCAAAGGGTCAAGCCAATAAGAGCAGCAGCAGGTAGAATAAGAAAACACTTTTTTTTTTTTTTGGTCACAGCCACAGCAGTACTACTGTCCACACAACTTTTAAATTAGGACCTCAGCTCTCTTTTAGGTGGTTTTGGAGTCTAGCTTCTTAGAGAAACTGGAAGGGAGGCCATAGGACTTCTGTAGAATTGGGAAAGGTGTGTGACCTTATAGTTAGCCCTCTGGGACTGTAGTGCTGAGTATAGAACACCATGAATTTTGATTTCTTGGAGGTCACATTCCCTCCTTCACCTCAGAGCAATTCCCTCCAATCCACTGAAGCCCCCAGCCTTGTTGTCCAAGTCAGAAAACGAGAATGATGTGAGATGTAGGGAGCACTCAGTCTTTTCCTTTACACAGCCTGTTGCCCTAATCTTTTTCACCCAGTTACTGCATGGGCAGTGAACATCAGCCTTTGCTGCAGACTAGCGGAAGCTACCCAAAATATCCACCCGTGATTCACCACAGACAGACAAACTGCAGCTGGAGTGCAATCCGGAACTATTGCACATAGCGCTGGGCACACACTAACAAGCAGCTATGGCCCCTCTGTGCCCCCACAGCTGCATAGCAGGAGCTGGGGCACGGACGCAGCTGGGAGCCGACAGAGCTCAGCACCAATCTGCTCACCCTGGGTTGGAAACAGGAGCACACACAGTGCACAGGTACCTGTCCTCATCTGGACATTTAATCCCAGAAATGTACATCCAGGCGGTTCCCATGCCTTGGGATTTATCCGGAGCAGACAGGCAAGCAGCTGCTGTTTTCACTGCCCGGTGACAGGAAATCCAAAGGGTCTGTTCTCTCTTGGTTGGTGAGTAGTTAACAGCAGGGGTGATCTGCACTGTTTCTTCCTCCTAAATGTTGCTCTTTTGGTGGTGTTTAGACTCAAACTGCAGTCTTTGCAGCCTGGGTGGGGTCAGAGAAGGGGTTTCTGTGCACTACTTTGCACTGCGCAGGTCAAGTGGCAGGGTGACAGTGTTATCTCCCCCTGTGACAGGAGGTCAAGTTCCCACAGTGCTGCTAGTGGAAACCACTAGCTCCACAGGCTTTGCACAGTGTTTTAGGGGGTTAATGAACAGGGAAACACAGCATTTTCTGTGCCTCAGCTCCCCTCGAGACAGGCAGCAGGTCCTCCACCGAGGCCCAGGTGAGCCTGCCACAGTGGCAGTGCTCAGACAGATGTTGCCTTCACACATGTGAAGGCTGAGGAACGTCAGAGCTGGTTACAGGCCCAGGGGAAAATGCTTAGGGACAAAGCAGATGCTGTGAGAAAAAAAACAGGCCAGAAGAAAGACTATTTTAAAATACTGCGCACTTGAACAGTAGCAGTGAAGCCAAAATAAAATATTTTTAAAAAAACAAAAGTCGGTGCGCAGACTGTGGGAAATACAAAGGGGTCATGAGAAATGCGAAAGGCTCGAACACAGAGCAGCGGGAGCAAGCGACCATGGCCCAGCCCCCAGAAGCACGGCCACAGCCATGCAGGGACAGCGAGGCTGCTGGCAATGCCGGTGATGCCGGCAGCTGGGCAGAGTGCAGCACACGCCGTGCCCCCACGGGGCTTCGCACCCTGGAGCAGACCTGGGACCTGCTACTGTTTCCCAGCAGAGCAAGCGGCACATGGCTGATGTCTGATGCCAGATTCACCAGAACTGCTGGCTGAGGTGCTTGCTGCGGTAAAACATCTGAGATATAGGCCAAAAGGGAAAGTATCTTTCTTCTCCAGTACAATGTCAAAGGAGAATTGCATCTTTCCAATGTGAGGAGGAGATGTAATACAGGGGTTCATAGCATAACGTATCCCTAACACCCAAAAGTCCAGGCAACCTGAACAAAGAGGCTGATGGCCTTGAGGGCCGCGGCAGAGTAGCCTCACCACCATGGGAGAGAGGACAGGCTTGATCGGCCTCGGCCCGTCCCTGGGGTGCCGGGGCAGTGCAAGCCCAGGGAGCAGTACCAGGACAAGGAACAGTGCAGTGAGCTCTCAGCGTAGCGTCCTCTGTGGCCCAGGGCCCACATTCCTCCCGTGCTGTTGTAACTCCTGCCTCTGTGCCAATGGCTTCCAGAACGCAGAGGAAAACTCTCGCATCTCAATCACCTTCTTCCGACTCTTCCGCGTGATGCGTCTTGTGAAGCTCCTGAGCCGAGGGGAGGGCATCCGGACGCTGCTTTGGACCTTCATCAAGTCCTTCCAGGTATTCCTTCACTTCTCTCTAAGTAAGACCTAATTCCTTTTTATTTCCCCTTGGTGCCCTCTCGAGAAAGGGTTTCACCTAAGTGCCTGAGCTCAAAGGCTGCTGGTCAGAGCTGAGAGCACCAATGACACATGGCGCGGATGACAGTCAGGTAAATGGGGCTCGCAGGGGATGACTGCCTGGGTGCGACTTTCCTCTTTAAAGCATGAGTAATTGCTTGCAACCTTCCTGAACAACCTTGATAGTTCAGTTCGACTCAGTTACCACATGTCTGTAACCCTTCAATCTCCTTTTTCTTTTTTTTCTGTTTTAGCTGTATTTCATATCTGTTGTTTTAAGCGAAATACACAGCTATGGGGAAGGCCTGGGTCTCAATTCAGTTTCCCTTAAGCCTTGTTTTGAGGATTTCCAGTGAGTATTAGAGGTGTGCAGCCCCCACGCTTTCAGCCAGGAAGAATTTCACCTTTTTGGCCCCACACCTTTGGCCCTGGTAATGATGCCAATTTATTAAATTGCTGCCGCTTTTGCCCTGGAGGCAGGTTGCATTTCAATGGTAGGTAAAGTACCAGAGTGGATGATAGGAGAAGGCAAAGGAGACCAGACTGGATAAGAATCATCACCTCTGAGGGAAAACAAACACTAAGAGATAGCTATTTGCTAGAAAGACTGTTCCAAACCAGCCCCTAACCCAACCACATATAGAAAAATGGTAGTTAGAGATGAAGCATAGCATATTCCTGCATTTTACAAGTACTTGACCTGGATTTACTGGGCCAGCACAACCTGGATGTTGGCTGGGGCAGGTCTGGAGGAAGCGTCAGGGAAAGACAGCACAGGAATACAAATGGTGGTCTAGACATAAGAAAAGATACAGGACACACCACTGGACAAAAGCATGAAAGAGTAACTTGTGCAAAACACAAGTCTTGAAACAGTAAACATATATCCCTCAGATGGAGGCTTTAAATGGTTGATAGCATTTGTATTGACTCAAATGGAAAAGGAGCTGACCCACACTTTAAAAGTTAAACCTCATGAGCTGGGACCAAAGCCTGCAGTGCTGTGGTTCGCCATGACTTCTGTCTCTGTCAGCAGAACTAGCGCACGCGTACACCAGAGATCAATCTGGACCTTTTCCAGTGCAGCTCTCAGGTGGTCTCAGTAGCCAGACCACCAAGCTCATGCAAAGGACTCTCATTTTGCACACTCCTTGAATTCCAGAGGATCCAATATTGCACAGCAGTTTTCTGACACATCTGTACCACAACTGATTTTTTCCATTCCTTACGCAGTTGCTGACTTCCAGGTTGTTATTTGAGCAGCTCCAGTGGGAACCATTTTGTCTGCACGCATAGAAATGAAATTCCCTCGGCACAGCTCAGCCACCCCTGATGCAGGGGACAGAGTCACACTTTCCAGTTCCTGCTTCTCCTCCCCTTGCCCCTGTGCCCCTCCAGCCTCTTTAGCAATAGCTCGCTCTTATCCTGAGCTCAGCTTGCCACAGCTCTTGGCTGGAGAGGATGAGATGGATGGGAAAGGGAGTGCCTGGTACTTCCCTCCAGTGACCTTCAGACCTCTTTGATTGAAGAGTCACTTTTAGGCAGGGTTGTAGGGTGATGGGAGAAAGTATCAAGGGAGGTATCTTCCACAGCAAGGGTAAAAAAAAAAAAAAAAATGAAAAAAGCACTGCAAGTGCGTGCCTTTTCCCTTGAAAGCCTTTAGCCATTTATAACAGTGTTCTCTGCTCAGAGCTCCCTCTTGCAACTGCTGGGAGGCTCCTTTGGTAGCTAAGAATAGCCACTGTGTAGAGCTTGTAACTCAGCCACTCCCACTGTCAAAATCTGAGATCCCTGCAGACTTTGTCTGGCACAGGCTCTTCTCTGTGTCCCCACATGCTTCCAGGAAGCATCTCTGCTCACACAGGGCAGCCTAATAAGCAACAAACTTGTGCTGGAGTTCTGATCTCATCATAACTACCACGTGCCCTGTGCATGGCGCACGGTGCTTACACCCAAGTTGGGGCACTGGTCAGAGCAGCATGTGGTGGGAAAATGCGCAGAGGGGTTTCTGCCTGCAGAGATGGCAACAGAGCCCAGGCAGGCGAGTGGGAGGCGTAGGAAGTGAGAGGGGTGCTGAGGGCAAGGTAAGGCCGTGGGAAGCACAAGGACAAAGCCAGGGAAGGGCGGAGACGGAGGAGGACAGAGCTAGAAGAGTGGAATACGGGAGGTGGGGAGCTGAAGTAGTCAGGGGGAGTAAGGGGCAGAGATGAGTAGGAAGGTGCATCAGTGGAGAGGAGTGGGCTGAGTGGAAGAACATGGAAAGTGGAGGGCCAGATGGCCAGGAGAGAAGATACTTCTCCCATCCTCATTAGAAAGATAGAAGAACTGGTAAGGTTATGCACCTCAGGTCCTGTCTGGACACTAGCCCAGGAGCTCTTCTTGGGTCTTGTGTGTATCAAGTCCCAACTAGATCATCACAAAATGTTTGGAGCCCAATTCTGAGCTGGTGTATCTCCACTGGCATTGTGGGGTAACCATACAGATTTGTCTGACCCCATAAAATACAAAGGAAGCTGCCCCCGAGCCTCATGATCATGATTATAGACATTGTTTAAAGGTTTGAAGTTTTGCCATTTTAATATTCAGATCTCTCTGAGATGATTTCTGCAGATCTTAGTCAAATCTCCATGGCGGTCAGCAAAATTTTTCCTTGATTCTTCCTATAGGATTTAGCCCTATTGAATTTAGGCATAAACTTAAAATGTGTAAATAATCTTATATTTAAAAAATAATGTTGTAGGCTTTTATACTCTGTGAAATGGAGTGTTCAAAATTCAGATCAGGGACTGTACTCACATTTTTCAGGATGAACGTGTCCACCCATTGCCTCTGAAGTGAGGTCTGGAAATCTCTGGTCTGAGCACTATATATTTCAAAAGCAACAGAGTAGAAAATTCCTCCTCAAAACCATGAGCCTGTGAGGTCCCAAGCTGTGTCCTTGATTCCTGCTAGTGGCAAAGGAAACCAATAGCACTCAACACTTTCCTGATTGCACTGGCCTCTTCCTTACCAGGCAGGTCTGTGTATCAGGGCTCTGCATTTCCCTTTCAGCAGCTGATCACAGACACTTAGTGCATTGCAGACTCCATCAGAGATACCTAACGCTGAACAGGGAACAAAGCTGATGCTGCTTTAGGTACTTAGCATGGTACCAGCCATTGTAGCAGAAGCCCTGAATTTGGATCTCGGCAGCTGTTCCGGTTTTTATTTCACCAGACTGGATCCAGAAAAGATCACATTGCCATTAGTGCCAGAATAACAGTGGTTATGAGAGTTTTCTCCTCTTGGTAAGCAGCTCTAGACACTGGTTTTGCCCTCGCTTTCGTAACTCCGTCAAGGGCAGGACTGACTTGAAGGCAGCAGAGCTACACCATCACGAGTGGGAGCAGAGGCAGAGCCTGCCTGAGCGGGGTGGCAGCAGCGTGGTGGCGGGGAGGGCAAGCAAGTGTGGGCCTGTAGAGGCATCTAGTGGCCACCTGGCCAAATTACAGACTCCACGTTTGGGGCCAGCCTCTGCCCAGTTTTCCAAGGCCAGAAGCAAGAACCAGGCTCCAGTGTGCCGGGCTCGGCGGAAACACAGTGCTCTCTTTTTTTCATTTCTAGGCTCTCCCCTATGTGGCTCTTTTAATAGTGATGTTGTTCTTCATCTATGCCGTGATCGGGATGCAGGTAAGTGATGCTAAAGAGCTCAACCGTGTCTGTCTTCTCCTGTTAGAGTTTTGGGAACTGACTTATAAAGTAATTAGATCAATGTGTGGTTTTAGGGGCTTACAAAAATGTTTTCACCCAGTAAGGTAAGACGGCAGCTAACGCTGGTTGGAAAACATTGTCTGCCTATGCAGTTCCAACAGGAGCACAACACACTCCAGGGGAAAAAAAAAAAAAAAAAAAAACAAAACAAAAAAAACCCACAACCTATTTAATGGCAGAATGCTATACGCAAACAGTAAAAGGACTGTGCCTGCCCTCCACACTCTCAAAGGAATACTCAGCAGTGGTGGCAAAGGAGATTTACTGCCTCACTCATTCGTTCAAGATAGTTGTTTCAGGGCTATGAGCCGTGCTACAGGCCAGGCAGGGCTATGGGCTTATGGCCATGCTGCACTGAACAAACCCAATTTTTCTCTCGCATCACTTTCACACTGGCGTAACTTCCACTGAGTTGAAAAAGCAGCTTTTGGTTGAGACCCATGAAGGTAAATATGGGATCAGACCCAGCATACCAATGCTCTGTGTTTGTGCCAGTTCTTCAGGAAGCTGCATCAATACAATATCCTATTCAGTTTGCAAAATGAACTTGGAACCAGCCTGAACATTCACCTGTGCAAGAAACTGATGTTGCATACAGACCATTGAAGAAAGCATGTGATATAAGCACAGGCTGTGACAGTCCTAGCCTCATTTGCTGTTCTGCTTTTCAAACTAAGCTTCACTTTCCACTTCGGTATTAATCAAAGATCTCAGACAAGTCAGCCATCTGGGACCAGAGACCAAAGTATAGAAAGGCAAGGCATAATTGCTTCCAGAGGTCTTCAAATATGACAGGCTTCTTGGTTTCACAATGCTGACAGAATTTGTTACAAAATTCATCTGACCTCTGTGACCTTGTTTTAATTTGTTTCCTGTTATTATAATCACCTCTTTTCACAGACTCCATCTACCCTGCCCTAGTTTGAAAAATAAAACTAATCTTTTCTTGAATTATCCCAGGTTATCTCAATCGCCCCCAGTAATTACAGTTGTCCTTTAATCTACTAGGCTTATCCTGTTAACTTGCCAGTTTTGCCTTTAATACCTAACTAGCTCAAATGGCAAAGATCTTACAGGATTACCTATGCTATACAGAAAATGACCTGAGAGTATTACAGTAGTGTTACGTAGCTACATAAAGCACTAAAAGTGGCTTCTAAGCACCCAAGCGAATGGGGTCTACAATAATCAGGGCACTGCCAGGGATGGATATTTTATTCTGTAATTCTACTCCCTTTTCTGTCAGCTAGTTCTAAGTTGGCCATTTAAGCCTTGGCTTACGTTCAAGCCTCTCTTTAAATAATCTCAGCACCCTAAAGATCATACATCTGTCTTTCACATTGATCTGGATTACTAAATCACTTCCTGCCTTCCTGTCTTCCAATGAGAAAACCAAGTTTTCTCATCTTCCCTCTGCTTAGAGCCCACAGACCTGTTATCATCACTTTTTGCCCAAATGGCATCTCAGACATTTTGTGTGCCGCTCTCTTGAACCTGCTGACACATAGAGTTCCCTCACACACAGAGACACGTAGGAAGGAAAATCCTTCCTCGCTCCATTAAGCAGCTACCTTGAAAGACTAGATGTACCAGATCTGATGAAAATATAAGAATTTCCCACATAAAGGAGACCTATCACTTTATCTCAGCTACTGCCCTGACTTGGAGCGTAACAACATTCAAGCCTTGCTACCTGATGTGCTCAAGTGGAAAAATCCAAATTGATGCTGATGGATGAAGCCACTCATATCATGGCTCAGGAGACACAGACTGGAGAGGCCATGAGAGAGGAACCTCTTCCTACAGCTCCTCGTAGGTGTCTAATGCAAAGCACCCGTAGCAGCTGCCACCATTGCCTCATGTGTGAGGAAAGCTGCAGGGTCGAAAGGAAAATCAGACTTCCAGCATGGGAAGTTCCCTTGCCTACACTTGGCTAAAATGAAAAATATGGGCTGCCTCAGCCCAAACTGCCTCTGAGCATTTAAACTGTCCTCCTGCTCCCTCTCAGTGCAGCTCGGGCCGTCACTGCTACCGGCAGCCCAGGGGCGGGCGGGGCGGG